GGGTCGGTAAAAACACGTGGCAATGGCCAGTAAATATGACGTCATCTCATGAATTATTAAACAGGGGGCGGTCCTAGGAAGGTGACCTTTTATCACGATCAAAACATCATGGCTTCTCTTCGATGTATTTTCAATAAAAAATCTACGAGTATTTCAGAGGCTATGGTTTACCGTAAAGAGTACATAGTGGGATATTAAATTATTTATCCTCGATGATTTTTATGTAGTATTGAGAACCAACTCCAGGAAGCGAACGCACAATAATGAATAATCGCGTAATCCTAGAATCGAAACGCGAGGCACAGAAGTTTTGTTCATCGTTTCCAATCCCATTTTTCCCACTGCAACACATTTGTTAAAAGAAATATTTGAATTCTGTTCATTTTTTAAGGAGGCAATTTTTTTATTTTTTCCGATTTATTTTTTCCGGTCGTTTTTTTCTGAATAGAAATCGGCAAATGAAAAAAATAGGAGTGCTAAACAGTGTGCTTCGTTAGTTAAAAACAAGCAGCCTATCGGCTGAGATAGCTCCGCTGTTAGCAATGCACATTTCAATTAAAGAACTGAAGACATCATTAGAAAATGAACAACATGTATAGTACATTGTATCAAAGCAATCAGACTTACAGTTTTTAACAAGAAGTCGAAAATATCACTTTCTACCAAAAATGACAAAAATATTCACCAAAATTAGAGAATTGAAGATATCGTCACGAAATGAACAAATCTGAGAAAGGTGTACATGTAGTATCTATATATGTAATATCAAAGCAATTGAACTTTTGGTTTTTAACAAGAAGTCGAAAATATCACTTTTTACCAAAAATTACAAAAATATTCACCAAAATTAGAGAATTGAAGATATCATCACAAAATGAACAAATCTGAGAGAGGTCCACATGTAGTACCTATATATATAATATCAAAACAATCGGGAAAAAAATATTTTTGATTGAAATTCACAAATAAACTGCATCTCTACCTTAAATACCCAAAATACTTGTTCAACGGGAGGGATTGAGTCTCAAGCGACGATAACACACGCTAACGCAAAGGCTCATGGGTAAACGCTTGTTTATAAACAATGACACGCTATGGCCATCGAACACATGCACTGGTGACAACTCCCCGCTTTAACGTACAGAAGTCAATTCATTCATCTGAACGGGGATTAAATATGCCTAGTAATTAATAAATGGATTGCATCAAAAATCGAATCAGGTCTGTGTATTATGCCAGACCATCTACATACCAAATTTCATTAAAATGTTGAATGGTACTTTGTAAAACAAGTTAACATGCTTAAAATTGGCTAATATGCAAATTAGATTACAACATAAATGGGGATTTCAACCAAAAACTAATCAGGTCTGTGCATTTTCTAAGACCATCTTCATTTTAAGTTTTATTGAAATCTGCTAAGTAATTAAGACAAGCAGCCTATCGGCTGAGATAGCTCCGCTGCTAGCAATGCACATTTCAATTAAAGAACTGAAGACATCATTAGAAAATGAACAATATGTATAGTATCAAAGCAATTGGACTTGCAGTTTTTAACAAGAAGTCGAAAATATCACTTTCTACCAAAAATGACAAAAATATTCACCAAAATTAGAGAATTGAAGATATCATCACGAAATGAACAAATCTGAGAGAGGTCCACATGTAGTACGGTAGTTATATATGTAGTATCAAAGCAATTGGACTTGCAGTTTTTAACAAGATGTCGAAAATATCACTTTTTACCAAAAACAAAAATATTCACCAAAATTAGAAAATTGAAGATATCACAAAATGAACAAACCTAAGAGGTCTACCCAAGGTACATGTACAAAAAATATCAAAGCATTCAGGCTTGTAGTTTTCACGAAGTCAAAAAGTAAAACATTGACACGAACGACAACAGACAATCACTCGTATGATAAGCTCCACTCGACAAAGTAGACAGCGGAGCTAAAAAAAAAATGAGATCAAAATTAAAATGCATATTAGGTCATTAATATGCACAGATTTCAACCAAGAACTAATCAGGTCTGAGCATTATCCAAGAGCATCTATCAAGTTTCATTTTAATCTGATAATTAGTTTCTGAGATATCAGTGGAACAGACATGTGTGTGCACACACACACTAACTGCAAAGACTCCAATTGTGAATCAATGTGCCAAGGGTAAACCAATTATCTTCACCCTGAGCTGGTGATTTTGATGTAATTTTTGGCCTACAAATGGCAGTCATCTTGGAGCATGGAACATGTCCTATATATGTGCAAAGTTTGGACTTGATCTTCCCAAACATGCAGGAGGTATAGCTAGATTAAAAATAGGCTGGATCATTAGATTTTCCACAAGAGGAGCAATGCCATTTTTTTACCTAAAGTTCCAAAGAGTAAAGAAATGTTTTAGCAAAACTTTGTGGGAAGTACAATTTATACGACATAAGGATACTACACAATCAATACAAGTGTAATTTATATTAGGCTTCCCAAAAAAAGTTTGACCATTTTTAAAAATGGGACAGCAAAGGAAATTATATTTTTTTTTTGCTAAAATATTTGAATGCTGCACAAATTTCAACAGATTAATGAATTTTAATAGAGGGCGCTTTTAAGTGGCAAAAATAAGTGAGGGAAAGGAACTACTCGTACTGGTTTTGGTGGTGTGCGTGCTGACCAGAAATGCCTTGTTTTTCTGATATGAGGCGAGTGATTAAAGACGCCAAATATGGTGGTATTGCAGTCTGTGCTATAAAGTATGTCAATAACCCCAGCCATTAATGAACAATTACAATAATTACGACAGAAACCCTGCTTTCAAATGTAATTCAATGCAATTTTATGAAATTGTTTTGAAATGATAGCTTTACTTTATACAATGTTAAAGATACAAAAAAAAAGATGTGCATTAACCGCAATTAAATGGCTCTAGGTAAGCACTCCCTAATATACTCTTGCCTGTGATGCCATCTTGTAGACTTGTCAATAAAATTTCCAAGTCACGATTCTACACAAGCCAATCTATATATCGGGATAAATAAGACATTTGTTTCTGATGCAAGCAAGATGGAAACACTAAAGTACAAGAGAAAGGCACAACCATCAGTCCTTTTACTAGTAAGGCAGCAAACCGCTATTTACACAAAGTACATCACTGTAAGATCAACTTATAATAGCAAAAACACGACATCCTCCCAAAAAGGTTTCTTTAAAAAATCTAATCTATTTGAACAAATGCTATTTTTATATCAATTGGAAGATTGCGAACAGCAATGGTGAAGAACACAAAACGATTTCATGGTGTCAACTCAACAGAGCAAAACTGGATTCCCATCTTCAGCCAAAAATGACCACAGATTCATGTAAGAGTCGCATGTTTACTCAATATTTTTTTCCCCCAGATCTCCATTAGTGTCATCCATCAACGTCTCAAGTTACAAACAATGCAAAACAGTCCCTCTTGCCCAAGTGCATGAGCGGTTGGTTCTCAACTTTTTGACATAATCTTGCACTTTATTTCAGCAATTTTACTCTCTGGTCATTGAGTGGAAATCCACTCCATACAAACTGTTCCAGTTTTGCTAACTTGTGTCCTTTGCAATCAATACATGAATAACTGCCAGTCAGTATGGCGGCGAGTTGACTTTATTTAACAAAAAAATCACATCTAGTCTGCACATTAATGGTGCACAGCCCAGACATTTGTGACAGCTAAAGAAAAATGACCACACTACCATACATCTAGAAGACTGCTTCTTTTAGTGACAGTCCACATACTATTACAAAACTATGAAGTGGCTTAATTAAATCTACAAACTTAAAATTTGATAAATCGTCATTTTACTCCCATGTACATTTTATTTTATTTCGACACTCTTTTCTATTCTTTGACACTTTGGCGCAAAACATCCAAATATCTTCATTGCAATCTCACTTTTGTTCAAAAAGCACGAGCAACTCTATTCAAAACATGCAAATGAGGAATAGGTAAAGTTGTTATAGCTCAATTTCAGTAACCGATACAATATTGTGGTACCTGCCCTTGTGTAACCATGGCAACTCATTGCTAACATTGTTTAAGTCATTGTGAATAAATATGAATAATGACTCCCTGTATTACAGCCTTGAAAAGCCAGATAAATCAACAGTATCAATGGTGAGTTTACAAAGCCAAGGTTGCATACTTAATATCACGCAATCAATTTAAAATGTTATAACATTACTATTTGAGAGAAACTGCTCTGGTTAATTTCAAGACATAAAACAGAAAAGGCAATTGTCAAAATGGCACCAGCTAAAAAAAGTACATACAATTGGCCTACAAAAATGCCAGTTGACAAATAACTTTAATGTTTCTCTTTTATTAACATTCTGGAAATCATTTTGCAAATCAAGCCTGAATTGTTTTCGTGTGGGTATGTATTCTACACACAAACTGCATTCATCATTAGACACAGCATGCACAGTACAGTTTTTACAATCATGATTTAAGAGACAATGTAACTACAACTTGTAATTCTAAGCTGTGTATGCGAGTGTTCAGCAGAGTCTGACCTAATCAACCTAACAGAAGAGAACATTTAAAAGCCTGGTCAGAGCATCTCAATTAAGTGTCATTAATGATACAAGAGGCGAGATTCATTGTACTGTGAAAACATTAAATCTTGTGTGCACGGAAGACCACATTGAACTTGTAGTCTTACTTACTAAACTTAAGCAGAAATAAACTTATCAGGGAGTTTAATTCCTGATGAAACCAAATGCTTTCACAGTATTTCCACAAATATGTAGATAGCAGAATAAAAAATGAACCAGGCATTTAATTGTAGACTGTTGTGTTAGCTGTTGTAGGCTTTTGTTTTCTCAACAACAACAACCCTGTTTTAAAACTTTGAAGTCCTTTATATGGGTAAGTAAAGCCAGGGGTGTGATCAATTTCTGGTTACTGCTCTGTAAACTATTTTTACATCTACAAGAGAACACATTTCTTCTTCTTTGGCTGTTCTGGTGGTTCCAATGCAGCTAAAATAGCTTCATCAAATACATTCTTCAATCCTTTCTAAAAATTCAAAATATAAAATTAAGAATTATCAACTGTTAAAATAATATTAATCAGTAATTAAATTGGTATGATATAATAGGATTTTTAATTTCAAAATAAAAATTTGGGTAATCAAACTTATCATGAACCCTAATTGTATGTATTCTGACCAATTTTCAATTCAAAATGGCCTCCATCATATCTCTGGATGCTAGAAAATCAGCAGGATATGATCACATCAATCCCAAACAATTTCACAACCACTACGTCATTAAGAATATTCTCTTATTACTGTACAAATCTGGAAAAATCACCTGTAGAACATCCTTACAACATGCATGTATTTTGCTTTTACAAAAACTAATTTCCTGTTCTTGCGTTTCTATGCCCACGGGACCTCTTTCAGAAACTTAGACCAGAGTTCTCCCAAGCCTCTGAAGCATCACTGTACCGTGACACTTGGACACTCGCTTGTGATGCTTGCCAATTGCACGTAACGCCAACGATGTGACAAAGCAAGTCTCACAAATCACAAACGCAGATCTATACTTATTTGCTGCACTGCGGTTGTTGGCAGTTTTTACTACTCAATCGCCACTAATTGTCAATTTTTTTTTTAAAAAACAAGTGAAATTAAGTTGTATTGGAAAGAAAATGTAATATTACTGCAGACTGCTGAAAAAAAATGAACCCTGACCCCTGAAAATCCCTCATTCATAGAGTGCCTTAGTACCGGACACTGCCCCCTAAGTCGACATATTCCACATTGTGACCAATGCATGCCAGATACAAAAGGGATTCCGATTGAGGCAACAAAGATGGCGACGCAGCATGCATGTTTTTCCGAATGTTTGAAAACATCTCGTTGGCGATTTTGATGTACTGTTCAAGATAAGCAATGAATCGCTTTAATTAACAAAAAAATTGTAACTTTGTGTATTTTTAAACCAAAATGTCAGGGAATGATGATAGCAACAGCTGTGGTGAACACTCATTCAACGCAATGCCCTCAGCTGACAATGTTACAGTGAACGTAGCGTTACAAGGTATGGATAGACCCTGACTTTAGTTTTGAAATGCCGTTGTAGAAAAAACAATTATTCATTAATTAATTTCACATTTTGATAACCCGCCATCTGGCAGACTTTACAAATTTAACCAAAAAATGTTTTCCCGATGTCATATGAACTGACAATGACATGGGCATAAAACTGACTGTACTTATTGTACATTAGGCATTAGGCAAATTAGCCATGTTGCTTGACATGAAGTCTGGGGATAACACTGTTATTTGATGAACTATGTAAATATCAGACTTGCCTCTTTATTTTCAACTTTAACAGAGATTTGTATGCCCTACATATATATAACAAGTCTATCTTTAACTATATTGCCTTACAACTATCAAACTCACAAAGTAACTTACAAATATTACTATTTTCCAGAAATAAACTTGTATGTAACAGCTACTTATTAAAACTCATTAAAATATCATCAAATTCTCCTAAATATGATTTTAATATAGCTTAAAACAGTGTTTTTAATAATCGATAGTATGGTTTATTTATTATTATAATTAAAATTTTTAACTGATTTTTTTTATCTCTCTTGTAATTTACAATGTAACTCGTAACCCATACCATATTGATTGTGCTATAATTGAATAGCATGACAGACCAGATTTTTTATTTTTATCTATGACCAACCTCAATTAATTCATTTATTTATAAATTCATTTATTTGTACTCCTAGCATTATTTCAGAGACATGTAAAATATTGTTTCTGACAGAATAAACTTCATTCATTCAAGGCTTTTTTTATTTTTGGCATCTAAGGCAGACTCAAAGATGATCAGTCAACTAACCTGTGTAAGAGCTGAACATTCTACATATTTTACTGCTTTGAGTTCCTTGGCCGATTTCTCTGCCTGTTCCACTGTGGTTGGTTTCTGTTTGTTCTTTTGTAGTTTCTCTACAGTGTTTGCATCATCACGTAAATCAACTTGAGTACCCACAAGTAGGAATGGAGTCTTCGGACAGTGATGTGTTATTTCGGGAACCCACTGTAATTCAAATAAATGGTAAATACAATAAAAGTCTCTGTAAAAATTCAATTACCGGTATTTTTGGTTTACGAAAAATCAAAACAAAACAGCCCTGTCATCAGACACATTTGTAAAAGTAATACTGTACAACCATCCTATCTCATTCTATCCCCAAGGCACTGAATTAAAATTATAAACCAATTCCACGGCCAGCATACAACACCAACTGTTAGACAGGCACATTTCATAAGCTAAATGCCCAATATTTTATACCAGGTTATCATTTACTCCATGGTATAGCCTCAAAATCACAACCCAGAAAGATAACCATTAAAACATTATACCTCTATATATGGCTTCTAATAGAGGACAATTATTGTAAAACAAGTCATTGAAAATGACACAGTCCCTGTTAAATTTTTGAAAGTTCTCTGTGTTCGTAATATTAAAGCGGAGGGGTTGCAGGGTTTCCTCTAAGATTAGGAGTAGGTGGTTGAAGTGAACAGAGTAACAGGTTATGAGGGAGCATGGAGGTAAAAAGAGAAGGAGTCACAGCCAAAATAATCCTTCTAAACTTCTTTTGTTTTAGACAAGTTTAATCCTATAATTCCCTTTGTCTTATCATCCTTTCACCCCAGGATCGTCGCCGACGTGTCATTTACTCTCAAGCGTTGCTGCGCACAGTACACATTCCAAGGTCTTGTTTTATGGTGTCGCAGTAAATGTCAAAGGACATAAAGCATGCGCAGATCTTTTATACGTAGAGGAAACGTGTTTGTGAGAACGGGAAAGTTGGAATTGTACCAGTGACTGAATTGTGAGGTTCGAAATGACGCTTTTTGAAGTTTATATTCCTTGTATGTCCTACTTCCTACGGCAGTGCGTCAACAAGAAATTCGCTGCATTTTTTGGTTTTCGAGTAATCGTTTCGTTCACAGCATATGGAAAACAATTTTTCGTCTGTAATATGCTCTTTGATTTCGTTTACGTCTTCTGAAATGAAGGACATAGCAGTTTCAGCATCGCAGTCAAACTCGTGCGCGTTATCGATCGTCGCCATATTTGTTTATAAAAATTTGACAGAATTGTCACGAAAATCACCGAGTGCCGCCGAAGGCGTCAGTAGTATGCTAATTCACGGTAACCCTCACTGCGCTAAGAGGAAACTGTTCTCCTTGATCCGTTCGGCAAATAAACTCCCTGATCTATGTACAAACAGCGGCGACCATCCTGGTACCTTTGATCTAAGCTTGGCTGTGACTCCTCCTCTTTTTACCTCCATGGAGGAAGCGAGGCGAGAGGGGTATGAGACATTTGCGTTTTGCTTTGCATGTTTGTGACCAATCTGTGATCAATTTATAGATTTTTTACAATTAAAAACCAGACTGATAGACCAAAAATCCCACATCATATAATCCAAGAAAAACTGATAGAGTAATAGTATATAATTTTGCACATTTTTTTTAATAGTAACAACGTTATTTAAATGTTCAATGTAATTATTGTTGTCCAGTTATTTGAATAAAAGTATCTCTTACAATTGAATGTCTCAATTAACTGTCTTGCCTACAAATCACAGATACCTTCATCTTCATCATCACTATCATCATCATCCACTTCATAATCATCATCTTTCAGTTTTAAAGCATGTGATGCAGCTTCAACTTCCCCAGACAGGTTCACCTGCACACCTGCATCCTGAACATTCACAGCAGGAATTTCATAATTTTTTTCAAGGTTGGTGATTTGGCAAACATCAGATTTTGAAACAAATTGTCATGGACATGCATCCTAACAAGTATAAAGTACATGTATGTGCCAAGTTTGAATGAAAACTGACAAAGGATGTCCAAAATACAACATTTTCAAAAAACAAGATGGCTGCCAGTCGATCATCTTTGATCCAATTGCAAAATAAATCGTCATGGACATGTATCCTAACATGTATAATCTATGTACCAAGTTTGAATGACAACTGACAAAGCATGTCCAAAATACAACATTTTCAAAAAACAAGATGGCTGCCAGTCGATCATCTTTGATCCAATTGCAAAATAAATTGTCATGGACATGTATCCTAACATGTATAATCTATGTACCAAGTTTGAATGACAACTGACAAAGCATGTCCAAAATACAACATTTTCAAAAAACAAGATGGCTGCCAGTCGGCCATTTTGAGTCGAATCGCTAAACCACTGCTTGTGCATATGTCCCACATTAAGTACTAGGCACATGCAAAGAATGAACGGAATCGGTCCAAGGAGTTCTGAGATGTGACCCCGGACGGAAGCACGGACAGACGGACGGGGACTAAAAAGTATATTCACTGGATTTTATTTTTACTGAATCATTCCTTCAGCAAAAATGAAGTATTTTACAGTAAAAAAAGTTTAATTTTGTATATATTGAGCTACCATACTGTACAGGAATTAGCTACTATATTGCTTACTTTTTCTTTAACATTTTCAAATGATGATGGTGAGACAACTGAGAAACACACGAGGAAGACATCTGTTTGTGGATAACTTAATGGTCTCAATCTATCGTAGTCTTCTTGTCCTGAATGAATAAACATATGAAGACATTGTTACACAAGAGTCTCATACTTAGAGTGGTCAAGAGAACAAGAATGGTAACCACCATGCCACGAGTAGTTGCGGTTTCTTCATACAAGTGACCAACCAAGACAAACATATTACAGCCGTTCTGAGAATTATTCGGACAGTCAGTTAGCAAAATGACTTGCAACTTTGCAAAACACTTTGGTCTTTGCCCAATCTAGACTTGTCGGCGCCACTTGAGTGACGGGCGCGTGGTTTGGGATTACTATTTCATAGGGGTTGTCTGCTTGGTGAATTGTAAGTATTATCTAGTTGGATGTTGCTTAAATCTGTCAAAAAATGTCAACTCCTCGCTCATTTTAGTCAGTTGTACCTGTTACAAAAATGGACTAGACATAACGGTCGTTATACGTCATTTTCAAACTGCAGTTGAAAAAGTGATTCGATCAAGGAAGGCGCAGACTTTTGATTTGACAAAATCCATCAAACCATTATAATCGAGTTTTCCGTCTGTGTATCCCTGACATACTCACAGCACCAGTAATGTAAAAACAACTTTTAGTTTGGCCCAAAACTGTCGCGAAACTGCAGCGCGTCCCGCTAAGAAACTTTACTTTGAGCCTTCCCGCTAACGACGAGT